ATCAGAGAGAGATCAGTGGTCTTCGACTGGCATGTTAGTTGTGGTTTTGATAGGCAGAAACTAACCTGTGTTTAATTAAAATCAACTAGAGTCAGGAATGAAATCTTTTGACATTTCAGATTCTTTGTGAACTAAACTTTCTCATCTCACTGTAAAACTCGTTTTTTAATTTTGTTATCGTTGGAAGCTATTTTCAATACATTTATCGAGAGAAAATGTAGAGAGATCATAAGTCCCAGACCAATCGCCTCTCACGGCGGCCAGATAATGGAGAGGTTGCAAGGCCTTCCATCCAATCCATATTCAATAACCTTCAGAAGCTTTATTTGACTTTACACACGAAGAAGAGGAAACTATGTTCGCTGTCAGAATCGATAACGATTATAGATTTTGATTAGTTTCGCAACGTGTATTTTTCATCCGTTTATCGGCAAAGAAGAAATATCATCCTTCAGAATGTCTCCTGTTCGCTGTGCGCGGCTACTGTGTGAGAGGCCGGCCGGGTTGAGTCTCCACGGTTTGCGGTCAATGGTGTGGTTTTAAGTTCCACTCTTTGCTAGAGAGAAATCTGAATATCAGTCTCCGATCGGTCCTGCAGTTGATTCAGTGATTGTTGACAGTTACCATGGCAGAAGGTCGTCTCGCAGACGCAGGTTGCCCGCGTCGCCAGGCCGCTGCCGGCCAAAGCAGCGAAGAAGATAGGTACCGCTAAGCCCCGAAGCAAGAAGTACCGGGCCCGACGCGCGCCAGTGAGCATGAATCCTGAAGGCGCGTTGTCGCGTCGTCCAAGGACGGAAAGGTCTGTCCCTAATCGTTGGCCTGCTGAAGAAGTCTTTCATGGCCGCTCAGATGGCTATCGATGTGGAGCACAACAGACGCCCTCCGTCAGATCGCGGCCACTCAAGACCCTGGTCGGTACAGGGCTCCTGGTCCAGACCTAAGGAACCGTAGAGGCCTCCGGGTCGCTTCCAAGGCGAGCAAGACCGCCGAGAAGCCACAAGAGAGGTGGATGATTAGTAAGCGCCGCCGCGCTGCCGCCGCGCCGAAAGCGCTAAGAAGCCGCAAGCGAAGAAAGCCGTCCGTCTAAGAAGCCGGCTGCCGGCCAAGAAGGCCAAAGCGGCCAAGACCGACACGCGCAAGAATGGCCAAGAAACCCGTCGCCGCAACGAAGCCCGCAAGTCGGCCAAGAAACCCGCAAAGAGCCGAAGAAGGCCGCCTAAAGAAGGCGACTCACACTCACCGAGCCGCTCGAGCACAGCGCTGCGCGCACAGCCAAACGCTGCCAAGCCAGCAACGACTGGCGTCAAGAAAGCAGCCGCAAAGAACCGTAAACCTGTTCTCTTTTGCAAGTATTGTGGCTTTGTCTAGAAATACTTTAACAACACAACAAAAGGCTCTTTTAGAGGCTCACCCACATATTTCACTCACTAAGAGCAAATGTCCAGCGCCAAACTTACTTTTTATATATTATACACTTCCTGCACTTGTATGTTTGTTTTTGACGTGTTTAGTAATGATCTACGTCTTTGAATTAAACTGTCACATGACATTTTCCAACAGTCACAGGTAAGTAACCAACTACAGTGAATGTAGAGAAATGTTCGTTAGAACAGGCAGAACTGTGAATAAAGGTGATTTAAAGTGAAGGAATTTCAATCAGAATCACTGCAGATATCTGCAGTGATTTCCGTTCAGAGGTCGAGCTGCTTCATCCTGACACGCCCACACCACCACCGCTGTAGTAACGTCAAGACAGTAACATCACAATGAATGAATGAAATCTTATATATATATATATATATATAATCTAGACTCGACATGTGATCATGTTGCCTGATTATATAAGGATATTATATAAGGATAATGACCATAGAGCCTTTAGCTGGTGTGCATATATACGCGTTTATTGAGTGAAGGAGTTGGTGAATGGATGGATGTTTTTTGTTTTTTTTTTCTGTACAATTAACGAAGAGTTTAGATGTTGCCATACAGACCATAGCACTAATGATAAAGAAAAGGTACATGATTAGCTCACATTATAGAAAACAGAAAAGTATAAAAGAAAATTTGACAATCTTCTCCACAGTAAAATGGATATGGATGGATATGATTGAATTATCTTTTTCATTACTGGTGTTTCTGCCGGTGTCATTATCTGCTGCTCACAGGACACACCATGATGAGTTCACTGCCTTTTCTTTTTCTCTCCTCTTCTGAGTGCACGTATGAGCCGTGTGACTTGGACAGTTTGTGTCTCACTCTTCTGGACTGTTTCTTTCCCTCTAAAACAAAACCAGGCAATAAATAATCGCCAAAACTGCAGCCAACACAAAAGTCTCACATGAACAAACATCTAAACATATAGATTTCATACCCTGCTCTTTCATCAGTGTTAACCTTCTCCATGACTCCAGAACAGTAGGAACTTGTAAAGCCTGAAATATTTTCCTTCAATATCTTTGTTTTGTTTCACTGTACCACTATGGATATAGGCTGGCTTTTGGAAATATAGATATTTTCAGACAATTTTTTTTCATTATCCTTATTTATATGTTGCATTTATTTCCTTTGATTTTATTCCTTTTATTTATGTGTATTGTCCATATTTTACTGTCTCTTATTTCAGAAGTTATGATTGTTTCAGTGTGCAATAGTTTTAATAAGATGAAATGGAAACTGAACGTTGTGTTAGACTACACATCTTCTAATCGTATGTACATGAATGCACTATACTTATGACCAACCTTTTTTTTTTGACAGTGAAAGTCTTATTTTGTAAGTCGCACATACTGTGCGGCGGAAGTCTCGTACTCGCTACAGTAACATGACGTAACCTTTTGTGATTGGACGATCACACAGCGGCTGTACCTGGCCAATGAACGGCCAGATGGCAGCTATATAAACCGGGCTTTGTTGACACTGCACTATTCTGTTTTGTAGTTTTCACAGCAGGAAATTTCTCGTTAAACATGTCTGGACGTGGTAAGACCGGAGGAAAGGCCAGAGCAAAGGCCAAGACCCGCTCCTCTCGTGCTGGACTCCAGTTCCCCGTCGGCCGTGTCCACAGGCTGCTGAGGAAGGGTAACTACGCCGAGCGTGTCGGTGCCGGAGCTCCCGTCTACCTGGCGGCGGTGCTCGAGTACCTGACCGCTGAGATCCTGGAGCTGGCCGGAAACGCCGCCCGCGACAACAAGAAGACCAGGATCATCCCCCGCCACCTGCAGCTGGCTGTCCGCAACGACGAGGAGTTGAACAAACTGCTCGGCGGAGTCACCATCGCTCAGGGAGGTGTGCTGCCCAACATCCAGGCGGTGCTGCTGCCCAAGAAGACCGAGAAGCCCGCCAAGGCCAAGTAAACTCAGCCGAGTTCAACTAAACAAAACGGCTCTTTTAAGAGCCACCCACTTACACTTTAAGAGCTGATCCTTTTTTATATGCAAC